GTACTTCAGTGGAGGCCCAATGTCCATCTGCTACCTTAATACTAAACCTATAAATATATGCACATAGATCTATTCCCCCATCATCATATATAAATATATTTACATATGTACATGCCTTTAATGCCCTTTGCCTCCCAGCTCTTTCCTCTATTTCCTTTGACTTTCCTCTTGTCCCACTATCATGCTCAGCCTTCATCTGGGTTACAGTAATTCGTCTCGGATACATTGCCCTTGATCAAGCCCTACCAGGTCTCCTGCACCCTCCTCACCACCGATTTGGATCACTTGTTGTTCCCTTGTCCCTGGGTTTGTTAACACCAATTTTTGCTACTTTCATCACCCGATTTGAATCAAACTTTGCTTCAAAACAGTAGTAACATTTTACATTACTATCCATGAACATATTGTCTAACTGGATACTTGAAAAGGAATGTGAATTAATGATATAAACAAAAAGATTACCTTCTGTAACTGTTTTATAATCTCTTCATCTCTGTTTAGGTATGGCTTATAAGAAGTATAGACTCCTAAGAAGTGAAAAGAACAAAGTAAGCAGAAAAACTAAATGCCCATAAGAAGTACACATTTAAAAATTAATAAAAGCCAATACCAGGAGCTGTTAGAGCCCCCAATAAAATGATTAAGAATTAAAATGAAAAAGCCAATACCAGGTTTAGAATCCAGAGTCTTTAGGTTCTTCAGTTTTTTCACTTTGACCTGCTTAGGAATTTCACCTGAAGGAAACAGCATAAGGATTCTTATAGCTACTCTAATATATAAATTATAAATAATCCACTATTTATCATTAGAGTTGTTACTTATAGCTAAAGCATTCTTTATAACATCAATCATACGTTAAGTCTTCATTTTCTGGTACTTTAAAATTGGATAAAGGTAACATTAAATTACTACAGCAATGGAGAAACTATGCAAATGCCATTAATAAATTGGATACTTGATGATTCATCAATACCTATCATACTTAAATTCCCTGCTTCTGCCATTCACATGGAAATTTAACATCTGTATGCCAAAAATACATCTAATTAAAAGTTTATGTGCCAAAAATATATAAAATATCCTTTATGGATAGACAGTATGGAACAGAAAGTAATTCCTAAATGAGCAAGCAGATTGGTCTTCAAATGTTTTTCCTGACACAACATCCCAAACTCCGCTTTGGAATGCAGATACTTAAACTACCACTAGGTGGTGATAGCGTGTGCCACACCACAGATCTTAGCAACAGATGCCAGGCATCTAGAGGAAGGCAGCTGTGTTGAATAACTTGGTCAGCATGTGCAGTGGCCCTGATCCTGAGCTCAAAGGACGTTACAATCTAAGTAACTCTATAATACAGACAAAATTCTGTCAGATAAACACTTGAACATGTCATCTCCACTGCCACTGAGCTGATTCTGACTCACTGATACCCCCTATGTAGGGTTTCTGATATTATAAATCTTTAAAGCAGCAGATGTTGTGCGGTAGGTGTCACTGAGTTGGTTACAATCCATAGCAACTCTATGCACAACAGAAACACTGCACAGTCCTATGCCACCCCTATGATTGTTCCTGTGTCGGAGCCCATAGGTAAAGCCGCTATGGTAATCTAGCTCTTTGACGGCATTCCTCATTTTTGTTGTCCCTCCACTTTACAAAACATGATGCCCTTCTTCAGGGACTGATCTCTCCTGACAACATGTCCAAAGTACGTAAGATTAAGTCTTGCCATCCTCACTTCCAAGGAGCACCCTGGCTATACTTCTTCCAAGATAGAGCGGTTTATCCTTTTAGTAGTCCATGGTACTTTCAATATTCTTCTCCAGCACCACGATTCAAATGCATCAATTCTTCCCTCTTCCTTATTCATTGTCCAACTCTCATATGTATATGAAGGAATGAAGAATACCATGGCGTGGATCAGGTGCACCTCAGTCCTCAAAGTAACATCCTTGCTTTTCAATACTCTAAACATGAGCATCGATCACGGATCCGAGCAAGACAAAATACTTGACAACTTTAACTTTTTCTCCATTTATCATGCTACCTATTGGTCCAGTTGTGAGACTTTTGATCTTCTTTACATTGAATCGTATCCTTACTAAAGGCTGTAATCCCTGATCTTCAACAGCAAGTGCTTCAAGTCGTCCTCATTTTCAGCAAGCAGGGATCTGTCATCTGCATATGACAGATTGTTAATAAATCTCCCTCCAATCCTGATGCCATGTGATTCTTTATATAATCCAGTTTCTCTGATGGTTTGCACAGGATACAGCTTGAACAAGTATGGTGAGAGGAATCAACCCTCATGTACACCATTCCTGACTTAAAGCCACGCAACATTCCCTTGTTCGGTTTGCACAACTGCTATTTCTACAAATTCCACATGAGCACAATGAAGTGTTCTTGAATTCCCATTCTTCTCAAAGTTATCTATAGTTTATGATGGTCCACACAGTTGAATGGTTTTCCACAGTCTAAAAGCACAAGTAAACCTCTTTCTGGTATTCTCTGCTTTGAGCCAAGATCCAGCTGCCAACAACAATGATATATATTCCTTGTTCCACATACTCTTCTAAATCCAGACTGAACTTCTGGCAGTTCCCTTTCAGTGTGCTGCTGCAATCGTTGGATGATCATGAACGAACTTTGCTTGCATGCAATATCAATGATATTGTTCTGTAGTTTGAGCATTCTGTTAGGTCACCTTTCTTTAGACTGAGCATAAATACGCATCTCTTTCAGTCATTTGGCCAAGCAGTTGTCTTCAAAATTTCCTGGCATAGAGGAGTGAGTGAGTGAGTGCTTCCAGTGCTTCAATCAGCTGGTTGAAACATTTCAACTGGTATTTCGTCAATTCATGGAGCCTTGTTTTTGGCTAATGTATTCAATGCCATTTGAACTTCTACCTTCAGTATCATTGGTTCTTGATCAGATGGTACCTCCTGAAATGGTGTACTGTCAACTAGTTTTTTGGGGGTACAGTGACTGTGTATTCTTTCCATCTTCTCTTGATAACTTCCTGCATCATTCAATGTTTTGCTCATCTTTCTCCCAAGGAGTAGCTGGTAGGTTTGAATCACTGACCTTGTTGTTAGCAGTCCAATGCTTACCTGATAGCACCACCAGCGCTCACAAAAAATGCCACAGACATTAAATTTAACAATTTCTTTATAGCTCCCATTCTCTAATTGTTTCACTGTGTCCATGAAAGTAAAAGAACCGAAGTTAGCACTAAAGACAACCTAGAGATGAGCTAATTCAAACCTTTAAGTTTAAAAAATACCTTTATGAGATAGTTAAGGTTTATTGTGCCAACCTGGCCAATAAACACATGTGGGAGTAATTGAAGGGTGGAGAGCTAAATGGCTTGGTGAGACTCGCCTTTCTAGTTCTCGGGTCTCTCGCTTTCTGATGGTTGGACCAGGGTGCAGCTGCCTTCGCCAGTTCCCTGCTTCAGCTGGCAAGGCTGACTTCCTGAAAGACATCCCCAAGGAGAAGCCACATGGACCTACCCCGATGCAGCCCTGGGTGCTGGAGCAGCCGTGTGGAGAGCCCTGCCAGCACTGAGATGCTTACACACTCACTGACTTTGGCTTTCCTCCTGCAGTAGGCATCATTGCATGTGTTTTGTGAGATGGAGGAGGACTTTGTTGACTGGTGTCAGACATATGGGTTAATGTTGGACTTGTGGGCTTGGGCAGCACTGGGTTGGGATGTTTTCTTGATGTGCACTTATCCTTTATATACAACTCTCTCATATACATATGAGTTTCTGTGGATTTGTTTCCCTATTTTACCAGACTAACACACTTTATTGGAATCATTACATAAATCAAACGGCTAACTCTTTTTATCTGGGTGGGTGGGATAATAGGAACATGGGGCATTTTCACTTGCAATATTAAATGCCAGAAGATAGCTTTTAAAATTTAAGAGTATGAGCTATGGTAAACAGATACTTTTATAAACTTTCAACTTTGCAGTAACTTCAAACTTCCAGAAAAGGTGCCGAATAATATAATCTACATTCCAGGTAATCAAATATTTCAAACTAACTTTAACAAATACTTGTTAATTCAATTATCATGTATAGATAAGACATTTGTCATTCAGTAAATATTAGTATATAATAGAGAAGTAAAAATGAAGCACTAATATGAAGAAAAGCTCACAGTCTAATAATGAAGAGAGGCAGAGAGAAATGACCATACAGAATGATATGTACTGGAATAGAAGTATGACACGATACTATGGAGATACAGAGGAGTATCTTATTGAAGATGCCTACAGGAAGTGATAATTATTCCTATCAGAAAAACAAGTAGTTCTGGTGATGCTGGTGGATGAGCTAACCACAAGCTGGCAGAGTTCAAAACCACCAACTGCTCCATGGGAGAAAGATGAGGCTATCTACTTCCATAAAAATTTACAGCCTCAGAAACCATATTTTGGGTCGCCATGAGTCAGCATCAACTTGATAACAACGGGATTTGTTTTGGTATCAGAGAAAGAAAAACTTATCTGTAGAAAAAAGAGGAATAGACCTTTCAAGTAAAAAAGTTCAGAAGCTTGGAAGAACATGTTGCTTTAAGAATTGTAGATAACGCTAGAAAGTAATTAAGAGCCCTAGCCTCAGCAGCTGCACCAGTTTCTATTAGACTTGTTAAGTCTGATCTTTTTTATAACTCTGAATTTTGTTCTACATTTTCCTCTCACTCTGCCAAGACCCTCTATTGTGATCTCAATCAAATTTGTCAGTAGTAGTCGCTGGGAACCTTCTCGTTCTGGTCTCAAGGTAGTGGAGGTTGTGGTTTGCATGCTCCATTAATCCTTTGCACTAATTGCTTCCTTGACTGTTTGATTTCATTCATTCTTCTTTGCTCTGGATGAGAAATGACCAATAGTTATATCTTAGATGATAAGGTTTTAAGAGTCCAGGTGCTAATCACCAAAAGAGAATATAGAATATTGTATATATGGACCATCTTAGGCCAATTAACCTGGATGTCCCCTAAGAGTTTAGCAGTTTCTTGAAACAAACTTAATAATTCATGCTACTCTATATTGAACATCAATACTTACATGCAAAACTCACTGCCATGAAGATGGTTCTAACTCACTGTGACCCTATACACAACATAATGAAACACTGCCTGGCCCTACGTCATCCTCAGAATCATTGCTATGTTTGAGCCCATTGTTGGAGGCACTGTGTCAAGTCGTCTCTTTGAGGGTCTTCCTCTTTTTTGCTGAATCTTTACCAAGTATGATATCCTTCTCCAGGGACTGGTTCCTTCTGATGACATATCCAATGTGTGTGATACAGTTTTGCCATCTTTCTTCTAAGGAACTTACGGTTGTATTTCTTCCAAGAAATCAATCCCTGGTATAGTTCATATTATTCATCAACACAAATGAATCAATTTTTCTTCAGACTTCCTTAGCCTTTTTGCCTGCATATGAGGCAAATAAAAATACCGTGGCATGGATCAGATGCACGTTGTTCTTCAAAGTAATATTTTTGTTTTTTGCACTTGAAAGAGATCTTTTACATCAGACTTGCCCAATGAAACACATCACTTGATTTTCTGACCGCTGCTTCCAGGGGCAAGGATCTCTGGTGGCACAGAGCATTAAATACACGTTGAACAGCTAATCTTCAAGTGAGCAGTTTGAGCATATGAGCTGCTCTGTGAAAGAAAGATGAGGCTGTCTACGCCTATAGATCACAGGCTCTCAAACGTATTTGGCTTATCACCCGCCCCCTTTTCAGAAAACACAAATAAAACAAACAAAAAACTCAGCACCCTGACCATTAAAAATGGTCATCCAGAATAAGTTTCTGCTTTTGCAATCTCCTGCAAATTTACAGGACCCTGTCAGGGGCAGTAAGTAGCACTTACTTTTGAAATTACTAATTTAAAGTCTCAAAACCAAAAGGGAGGTTTTACTTCATCCGATAGGGTGTCTGGGAATCAGAACCAACTCTCTGGCAATGAGTTTGGTTTGGGGGTTGGCTTCCATGGACATTGATTGTATATTCACAGAAATTAAATTCTTGAAAACATCAATCTTTTATCCATTCATTGTGATGCTGCTTACACTTAAACAAATGGCCTAAATTGGTAGAAGCACAATGAAATAGAAGTGTCCAAAAAAACTGTCAAGCTTAAATTAAGATAAAAAGACACCAAAACATTTTACACCTATGACCGACACTGAGGACACCAGGGCGATGGCAGGAAGGCTGCAGCGTTACAGAAGGTCAGGCTCCCGGCAGGCACTGTGTTTGAGCTTCCCAAGCAACAAAGAATTTAAGTCATAAAATGGTTATCCTGCTGCAGCTCAAAGGTCTGACTGTCTAAGGGAAGCATTTCCTTCTGTTTCATAAGGTTTCTAAGCATTTCAGAGTAAGACTGAATCCAGTATTTTAAACTCTTGTTTCAAAATGTTACTCTCTGATGCTACCAAAATCTATGTGCATAAATTCTCAGAGTAAAGCATATTAGAACATGTCAGAAAAGCCTGTTTGTGTACATTAGGAGGAAAACCTTTAAAAAGAGATCATAGTTATTAAAATGATTCAGATACCCCACAAGTCTCAACTGTTTCAATGCAAAATTCAAGAATGTCCAGGGAAAAACACTAGGGATGCCACTGTCATCTAATTTAATAAAATGTCCAATTCATTCTGTAATTACCATGAGGAAGGTATATGAGGGTAAACATGTACAAGGGAAGTAAAAAATGTATTGCTACTGAATCACAGAAACCTTAATTAAACAAAAATATCAACATGTGAAGCTTTTTTGACATATGAAGGGGTACCCAAAAAACAAAACAAAATGGAAAAAAGCTCCGCCAAACAGTTTTTGTAGTACACATTTTCCCACTACGTGAACATCAAGCAATTGGCTCTGAGTTAGTGCACCCAGTGGCATTGCCTGGGTAGGTTAACTCTGGTCACAGTGAATTTCTTCACAAAAGCAGTCTCACTCGAACCTCGTTTTTTGTTGTGTAAGAGAACAGCATGCGGCTTTGAAATTTCGTTTCCTGCTTGTGGGCAATGCTGCAGAAACTGTTGTGATGTTGAACACAGCTTATAAGGAGTGGTTTTCTTGTTTAAAAAAAGGTGAAATGTCAATTGATGACAAACCATGCTTTGGACATCCATCAACTTCCTGACAAAATCAGTGCACTTGTGCTTGACGACCATTGAAGAGATGGGGAAGTTGTCTGGACTATCTTGGAGCTCAGTTCAGCGAATTTTAATGCTAGATTTGGGAATAAGAAGGGTTGCTACAGAAATTTGTGCCTCAGGTTCTGACTGATCAGGAAAAAGCGTGTCTAGTGGAAGCATGTCATGCTTTGAAAGAACAGCGCTGAAGTGACCCGGACTTTTTCCAAGGTCATTACTGGGAAGGAGGCATGGTGCTATTCTTACTACCCCGAAAACAAACATCAATTAAGCCAGTGAAAGATACCAGTGTCTCCTCACCAAAATAAAACTCATCAAGTGAAGTGGAATCAAAGATCAAGACGATGTTCACTTTTTTTGATGTGAAGAGGATAGTGCATTTGGAGTTCATTCCACCAGGTCAGACTGTTAATCACGCTTTCTATTTACAGGTTCTGAAAAGACCGGTTAACAGTGTGAGACCAAAAAGCCTGATAGGGACTAGTTTTGACACCATGACAATGCACATGCTCAAACAGCCATATCAGTGCATCAGTTTGGGGCATAAAAACCCAGCATGTCTCTCTTGCCCTATGCACCTTACTCATTTGACCCCACTCCATGCTACTTCTTTTTGTTTCCATGAATGAAAAAGGACATGAAAGCACAACAATTTGACGTAGAAGGAGGAGAGGAAAAAAATGAGGGAGGTGCTGTCAGCCATCCAAAGAGATGAGTTTGAAAAATGTTTTCCAAGAATGGAATCACAGATTTGACAAATGAATTCAGTGTACTGGAGAGTACTTTGAAGGTAAAAAGGTTGTTTTGTAAAAAAAAAAAAAAAAAAAAATTACTCTATGTTCATGGGTTTCTTCTCTAGATCAGCACATCTTTTGACCACTCCCTTAATTCATGCCAATGCCACAGAGATGTCTATTTTTTCTCAGACCTAGCTTAAGTTTTGTGCCAAATCTTGAACAAGGTCAGTTCTCTACAAGCTTTTATTCAAGTAGTATTGCAAATCCCTGTGCTTATAATATCATAAGTGTATTTTTTTAGTAGGAGAACATGGTGGGTCACATGGATGAGAACCAGCAAGATTTACTGAGTGAGAAATTATGCTCTTTTTCAAAGACCTTCACTAAGGATACCTAAAAGAAGGTAGCCAATAACAATCAAAAAGCAACCAAGGGATGAAAACAAAGATGAAGAAATAAGCCTTCTTAGCCACATTGCACACTTAAAAAGAAAACATCAAGTTCATACTTTACCTGCAGGTTTGAGGTCTCCTATTCGAATGATGTGTGGCCAATGCTGGAGTGTTTTAGCAAAAAAAGGATTGGTTACTCCTAATATGACTGAGGGCCTAAACAAATAAAAAGTAAGACAAAACAAAAGCAAAGTGCGGGGGAGGGGGAGAGGGGAGAAAGAATTTTCCATTAGTGAAGAATAATTGACAATTTTTTTAGTGTTCACTAAGTAAGTTTTTCACTCACTACATTACATATCAACTATGTGCCCATAACATTTGCACCAGCCACTTAAAGATGAAAAGACACCATCCTTCCAACAGCACTCAGGCTAGAAAGAATTGTGATGCCAGAAGTCCTAAGACAGTGTAAAGGCAGTATAAAATGTACACCCACAGCAATCACAAAGGAAACCTTTGTCTATCAGAGGATTGACGGGTAGTATTTCCAAAGAAAGAACATTTGCAGTGAGGCATGAACAATGAGAAGTTTATTGCCACGGAGTGGATTAGGTGGTTAAAGGTGATAAAGGAAATATGCACAGTATGCGCAAAGCAATGAAGTGAAACCATGGTTTGATTGTAGAACTACAAGTGTTCAGCATTTCTGGAGTACAAGCAGGAAACATGAATGGTCAGAAATGAGAAAGGCTGGCCCTATCATTGAAGGCCACATTAACACACTAGAAAGTCTAAAGATCAACTTGCAAGCAATCGGAAACTATTATAGAAGTGAGTGGAACTTGGAAGATGCCCTGCAGGAAGGGTAAAGTTGAAGACAGGTCAGCGGGAAGATATGAGGATGATTAGAAACCCTGAGTCTGGAAAGGACACAATGGGAAGAAGATAACAAATGTTATAAGAAATTCTTAGGATGTTGAATTGGTGGAATTTGGTAAACCCTGAGATAGGGTATGTTTAAGGAAGAGAAATTTATGACAATCCAGGTGTGGTAGTTACATAATCTGGTGTCAATTTGTGAGGAATACAAGTGAAGAGGTGGAGTCTGACTTGTCAATCAAGATATAACCAGTGAGGCCTCTGAGTGGGCATGGCCTTCTCCTAAGAATTAAGGGAACTCCTGGATTTTCCTCCTTGGAGGCAGGAGACATTTCTCTCTCCGCTGACTCCCTGCAAGACATTCCTGTGGAGAAGACACACGGAGCAAGGCTGATGGAGCCAGATCTCTGGAGCTGGAGGAACCTCATGGAAAGCCCTTACAATGCCACTGGATCCAAAGACTTTCTAACCACTGGCCTGTGATCATCCTGCATTCAGCATCATTGCATGTGTTTTATGAGTCTGAAGAGGACTTTATAGATTGGTATGGGGCATATGGGTTAATAGCTGTCTTATGGGCTTGGACTGGACTAGGTTGGGATGCTTTCTTAATGTACAATTATCCTTTATATAAAACTCTCTCTCATACACATATGAGTTTCTATGGATGTTTCTCTAGTCTACCCAGACTAACACTGCTTTTCATCAAAGAATCACAAGATTAGGGGAGGCCTCCCCAGAAGAATTCACTATAGAGGACAGCACTGAAGATAGTCTGGGGAGAGTGGTTGGTCTGCCCAGACCACAAGGGACCAAACTAAGAGGGAGAAGGGAAGGGGGAGAGGGAGAGGGAGAGAAAGAGATACATCCTGGCCCACCAAGCCTTAGGGACAACATTCCTGCTCCGAGCAGCCAATGGGCAGAGAGGACCATAGGACCAGCCCCACCACAAGACACGACATCCCCTCAGTGACCCACACAGTGAAGGAATTGTGCCTGGTCTAACAGCGCACACACACCCCCCACCC